TTTTTATTTTTGCATGTTATCACTGTGCCCGTTTTTTGCTTTTATTCTTTGTTCCGCAAAGTGCGCTCTTTTAGTTTGTAGTGATGTGACAATATATACCGGCTGGTTTGTCCTGTCGTTTGGCCTGTGCTGTAGGGGGCGGTGTCTGCATGTGGGACTTGTCATCTAGGATTCGTTTGCCCCCTGTTCTGTAATATTTGGCTGTTCCCTTCCTCTTTTCTTTGCCTCTTCGCCTTTTGGCAGTGTGCAGGTGGGTCGATATGACACACGGGGGTGGGGGCAGCGGCCGCTCAACCTACATCATCGTGGGCGGCCTTGTACGCAAGAGGTTTTGAACAGGGGGAGTCTTGTAAGGAAGAAGATAAAAAATTAATTTATTTCTTCTTTTTTTCGCATTTGCGCTCTGATAAATTTGTGACGATGTATACCGTCAAACAGAGCTGCCCGCTAAACCGTAGGCAGAGAAGGACAAGAGCCCAACAACCAAGGGGCTGTGACAGACTGTTTTGTCAGAGCTTCACCAACTCATGAGGAGGCTATATATATATTTAATGATTGGCATACCAATCACAGTAATGCATCCATATGAGAGTCCATGCACTGTCCTTGCACCATGCAGTGCATGGACCACAAGGACCTCAGTTTAGCCAGATTTTACTGCCCCCCAAGTACTGCGCCAACTGACCAGACTGGACTTCCGAAGAGAGCCCTAAGATCCGCTATCTGTATTTACCATTTAGGTATTGTTTAGACTGGCTTGGACTATTATGGAGCCTTAAGTGTATGGTCCTTTACTCTGCCCTTCGTCCCTATCTCCCCCTCGTAGAATACCCTAACCATCACCCACTACAGTGTGCACAGAGTTTGTTTCCCAATATTGGACACTGAATCAACCCACCCCATAGACGACCTGGCTGGTCTCTCCCTCCATATACCCAGCGCACTCTATCGGTGTCCTCTTCCCACAAGGCCCGCCCACATACAACTTTCAATTCCCAAGAGTCATTACACGCAGGACGTAGTCATCCAACGGGGAACTATTCATGCATTGATCTATGCAAGACTTAGACCCAGCAGGTCCTAAGGTGGCCACGCTACGATTCCACGGACCCAGTCATGCGAGGGCCGATAGGACACCCCCAATACTGAGTCTCGGACCTGGACCCTTAAAGCCCTAAAGGATCGCACCACCACTACTTGACTACACGTTCCACTCTAGCCCTTTGGTAGGGTTTGAGATATCCCCTTACAAGCCCAAAATGACCCCATGGTAGCCCCTGAGCTGGTACGCCCTGGCCCTGACTGTGACACCCCAATCGCGGTGCAACCTGGTGTGTGAATGGTGCATCAGCCAACGCCCTCCGGTGTCCAACGCAAAATTGCGGGCTCAAAGATTTGAACCTGCAAACCTCATACCACACTGCACATTCCTCTCCGGTGCCCCACCAATGGGGCTAAGCCGCCACTGCCGCTAAACTTATTTTGTCGGAGCTCATGACATCCTCAGGTATGCCAGACCCTGGAGCCGTGGTGTGAATCCTGAGAATCTGGACTCTACTCTCTGGTGAAATGCATGCAGTGCGGTTTGGTGTGATTCCCTGCTGCCCCTCAGTTTCTCCCTCAGCTCGACTGTTTCCCATTTATGTGTGATGGGAGTCTGAACTCTTTCCCACTGCAGGTGCAGATGGCAGTAGATGATTGAGTTGTGTGAGCGCTGCTCTCTGCGAGTGGCTTTCATGACCATCCATGGCTAAGGATGTGGTACATGTTCTCTGTGCATCGCCAAGTGCCCCTTTCTCTGTTGTCTATGATTACCCGGGTTGAACTCCTCCTTGAAGCTGCGGAGAGCAGCTTTCATGACCATTCATGGCTACGGATGTGGTACATGTTCTCTGTGCATCGCCAACTCCCCCTTTTTCTGTTGTCTATGATTACCCGGGTCGAACTCCTTGAAGCTGCGGAGAGCAGCTTTCATGACCATCCATGGCTACAGATGTGGCACATGTTCTCTGTGCACTGCCAAGTACTCCTTTCTCTGTTGCCTATCTGTTGCAGAACCAAAGATCAACCAATATAGGATGAGCATATATGCAGCGGAAGTCTGAGATATGGACTGACTCACATAACTGAACTCACCTAGACATCACTCAACCCACAAGCAATCGTGAGATGGTGGGGTCTGAAGCCATACATAGACGATTCTTCAGCCCCGTACACTCATACACAGGTGAATGGTGGGAGGAGAGACGATGGAGGTGGGAGATAGGGACAGCGCCAGATGTCGCCAAAATAGAATCCAAAATGTCACTGATATAGTAGCCCAAAATGTCACCGAACAAAATCAGAATGTCGTTGACATAAGTCACCAATGTCGGAGGTACATAATCCTAATGTAACCGGTGTCCGATCTGCGATCCCGCCAGGTATCAATCGCAACCATCTCCAATGTCTGGAATCCGGTAAGTATCACATTCTCCTATCACCGAAGTCCAATCACTGATCTCTGTCCAACTCGTATCAATAGTCTCCAGTCTGAAGAAGAAGAAGAAGAAGAAGAAGAAGAAGAAGATCCGAGAGGGGCAGAGGAGAGGTGGAGATGGCGAGTCAGCGCCCAGGCTCCTACCTGCGGATGCAAGCTGGCACCTTGCCGCTGTCGAAGACTGGCCCGCGCCGCCGGAGCTATGGCGCTCGCGATGTGGCCATCAGGTACGTCTCCCTACTCCGCCTACCACCTCTTCAGCCAGCACTACGCCTGGTGCTGCTGCCTAGCGCTGCGCTGGAACGGAAATAGCGCAGCATTTTCTCCTCAGTGCTGCCATACTCTTCCTCCTTGGAATGGCTGCTGGCTGGGCCTAAATACCGGCCGGCGGCCAGTTCGGTCTCTGCCTCCCAAGGTGGCCTCCGATCTGAACCGTCAGATTTATCGTCTGATCCATGGTTCAGGTCGGACCTGTTTTCGGGAAAACAGGCTGCCTAAACGGCGGCCTGGTCCAAACGAAAAACGTTTGGACATTTCCCTCCCAGGGCCTGCAGCTGCAGGGCCTGGTCTGGAACCGGTTGCGCAAGGCCAAAGGGGGGTCCGGCCTTTGGGCTGGCCTGGCCTGGATTATCGTGTCCAGTCCCTCGGAACCCCTCAGCCTAGTCGTCGGGCCTGAAAGGGCCCGTGTGGAATGCAGTATGTAACACTATCATTACCCGGTTTGAACTCCACTGCCCAGTCCCCCTTTCTCTGTTGTCTATCATTACCCGGTTCTAACTCCTCAAAGCTTCATATTGTGTAAAACGTTGTATCTTTGCATAGGTTTGGAAGAAGGGTTGGGAAAGGGGCCTGGTTTGGTAGAAGTTGGGGTGGTTTGACATGGTTGGATGTTTTTCCTTTATGCCCGCGTTTGCTGCTGCATCCAGAGGGCCAGGGGAAATCATTCCCAGGGCTGTTGTTGGCCCGAATGGCGCTCTGTAACGGTCTGTTTGGACATGTGCAGGTGTGTTGTCTGGGCAGTGGGCTGTTTGTCGCAATCACCAGGGCCATGGCAATGGTATGAGGTTAGAAGACCTCAGCGAGAAATTGGAACAGGTTCGGTGGCCAAGGCTCACAGCTTTGGTAGCTAAAGTTGGGGGGTAGTGGTGGGTTGAAGAAGTCGTTTGCTTGCTAAACTGACGGGAATTGAGAAGAGCTCAGACAGTGGTGTTAAACCTCCAGTACTTGAGAAACATTTCTAGTCGGGATGAATTTGGGCACTCCTGTAGTGGCCCGTACGTTTCCTAAAATCGTCGCTTGTATATGGGCACGACTTTAGGAAGTACTGGTGGTTAAAGTAAAATGTATGCAGTCAGATGTCAATGAAGGTCATTTTAATTTTAATAATCTCATACAATTTTGTAAGGTTGGTTGGTTGCTCTAGCGAATGACACAGTTTGACAATGATGTTGGATTTCTGGCAGGTGTGCCTCTCCAACGCATAACGAACAGGTGTTCCACTTCAGAAGTGAATTACACAGTAAAGTTGCGTTGCGTTGCATTGAGAGTGGTGCTAAATGCCCATGTGTTGTGCTTGTGAGTCGTTTCGGCGTTTTATCACAAGGGAGAGCCCATGATTTTCTGCAAGTGAGCAGGTGCATACATATTTGTGGGTGCACAAGAGAGAGAGAGAGAGAGAGAGAGAGAGAGAGAGAGAGAGAGAGAGAGAGAGAGAGAGGATTGTGTGGTGAGGAACGAGCAGAGCACTTGGGGGGGGGTTCATTGTTTGATGTTGTGTGGCGGTGGAGAGCAGCATGAGCAAAGAAAGCCCAAGGTTGGGGAAGGGTTGAAATGCATATGGTCGATGGGCAATCGCTGGGAAGGCAGCAAGGAACCGATTGTTCTGTGTTCTGTTTGTGTATCATTGTCAGCGTTGTGTATGTGGAGCTCTTGGGAGCTGAGGTAAGAGAGAGTTTGTGAGAAGTGGGTGAGGACTTCGCAGAGTGAGGCTTTTGGGGGCTAAGAGGTGGAGGGGACAGGCAAAACAGGTGTGCTGGGGTTTGAGTTGAGGTGGAAAGGGAGAGTAGGAAGGAGGAGGGGGGGGGGAGGGGAGGGGAGAGAAGTGGAATGCGGATTTGTGGCTTTTGGAAAGAACTTGCCCATCACGGGAAGAAAGGGTATGAGAAGCCCTCTGTAGTAGCTTGATGTGTCTCTGATTTGTCGATTCCACGACAGTGATCTGGGCATGCGCCGGCTGAGTTGTTGATTTTGTCTTGGTTGCAGTGTTAGCTACCTTCTCAATACCCTTCTTTCACTCAGCGGGTGGATCTTCCACCTCTCTGCATGGAGGCATCAGACATGGCACATCCAATACCCGCAATCTTCTCAGGAGGGCAGCCTATATTCCTGCAAAATGCACCTATTCTAAGTCAGACGTTTGCTCGTTCAAAGGTAACGAGCAATGGTGTGGTGTTTATGAATCTTCCGGCAGCAGTCTTTCCAAGGGACCATGTTCATCAAACTCCGATGGGAGGAATGGTGACCTTGGTGAGGAGTGCAGTTTATGACGGGTGTGCAAATGTGGTGATGCAGAGGGGAAAGGGGCTTAACGGCGAGAAAGATGTGATTCTGTCAGGCCTCTCAAACGCCAGGAAGGCAACTCCTGTTCCAGTACTCGAGAATACTATGTTAGGAGTCAAACAGGTAGACAATGTGGAGGTTGGCCTGTTGGAGGCTTCTCTTCTGTCCTTTCCTGTTGCACCACCAGTTCATTCGGAGTTGACATCAGAACCGGCAAAGGAGGACATTAAGGTGGAGGTAGTGACAGAGCCCCAGAAAGTGTCGGTGATGATGGAGGAGCTTGGGAAGGCTAGCGATGCTATTGAGGCGACCTCAGGGGCCCCTGAACCTGCTGGTCCCAAGGACCCTGAGCCCCCAAGCTGGGATGATCCGGACCTGGACCGGATGGTTAGGATGCCATTGAGAATTGGCATTGCGATTCACAGAGCGGTTCATGACATTGATAGAGTGGCGGAACACAGCAGCTCACCATTGTCACCGGATTCCGGGACAGGCGGTGAAGATGGGTCTGATGTTTGTGTGGGAGGTGGTGGGGACCAAGGAGATGGAGAGGGAGATGATGGGGAGGTGCCCTCTGCCCCGGTTCTGATATTTATCAATTCCAGGAGTGGGGGGGGGTTGGGAAGGAGGCTGCAAGAACAGTTTGTGAAGATGGTAGGCGAAGCGCAGGTGTACGATTTGGGAAAGGGTAAGCTAACCCCTAATAAAGTCCTCTTCCGTGTATTTCGGTGCCTGGATGGCATGGCAGGGAGAGGCGACAAGCTCGCTCTCCTTGTGAGGGATAAGCTACGTGTGGTTGTTTGCGGTGGTGATGGCACTGTGGGCTGGATTCTGGGAGCAATTGCGAAACTCGGGAGGGGTCAAGAACCACCACTTGCTGTTGTGCCTCTGGGGACGGGAAATGATCTTTCTCGCACCTTTGGATGGGGTCCTACCTATAGCGAAACATCATTTCTGGCATTGAAGCAACTCCTATTGAGAGTTGCGGAGGCGCGCCCATCGTTTCTTGACAGTTGGGAGCTGAGAATCACCTGTCCTGCAGTGAGGCTCTTCAAACCTCCGGACTCGATGCAAGAAGTTGCGGTGCTGGAAGCAGATGGGGAAGAGGGACCCAGAATTCAATATGGGTGTCGTTTCTGGAACTATCTCAGTGTGGGCATGGATGCACAGATTGCATACGGATTTCACCGACTTCGGGAGTCGAATCGCTGGCTGGCAAGTGGCCGCTTGATCAACCAGGCAATTTATGGTCACTACGGATGTACGCAGGGGTGGTTTTGCGGCAACCCAAACCAGGGAGAAGCAGCCCGACTGAACTGCGTTATGTCTCTTTCGGTTATGAAAAAGGATGGGAGCTGGGAGCTGCTGCAAATCCCGGCAAACATCCGTGGCATCGCCTTCCTGAACCTTCAAAGCTATGCAGGCGGAAGAAATCCTTGGGGATCGCCTCCGCCAGAGAAAATGGAATTGAGGGGTTTCTCACCCCCTTACGTTGATGATGGGATCTTTGAGATTGTAGGTTTTCGAAGCGGGTGGCACTTGATGATGGTAATGGGTTATTTATCACATGGGAAACGGTTAGCGCAAGCTAGAGCGGCAAGGATCGAGTTCACTTTTGACCATCCCGGGAGAGTGTATATGCAAGCAGATGGGGAGCCATGGCGGCTGCCAGTGGACCCTTTCGATTCAACAGTTGTAGAAATCACAAGGAAGGGAAGTTCAATGCTCTTGAAAACACCAGATTCGAATGCGAGAACCAGCTTGGACGCAGCGGCGCCCACCTCTGAATCACAGGAGAACAGATTTGTCAGACACGAGGAGGCAGCTTTGGCATTTGGCAGTTGTTGCACTCCTAGTCAGCAATCTTTGTTCGGACCTAGCGTAGGGGCTGGCCTGCCATTTGCTAGCACCGATTCAGAGTCATCTGACAATACAGATGAGCAGGTGAGGCAAGGTCGTATGCAGGAGAGTGCAGCCAATGGGTGGGGGACGCGTGGAAGGGGTGAAAGCAGTGGTGAGATCGTGAATAGCGGGGATCTAGGGGGTTGGGACGATGATGATGGGGATGCGATGGAAATGGGTGGGTGGCTGGAAGGGCTTGAGCGGACATGGTTGGCGATGACATCAGTTGCATGTGCGAGCAACAACCAGAGACACAGGAGCTCTAGTGAGTTTGTTGTCAATGAAGCAGAAGCTGGTGCCGGAAGTGTGAGAAGTAGCCCAGACGTAGCAGCGGTAAGCAGTCCTGTCGAGGATGATGGCGAAACGGCGGTAATTGGAGGTGACAGCATCAACCAGAGACACAGGAGTTGCTGCGGGTTTGTCATCAGTGAAACGGAAACTGGCGCAGAAAGTCTGAGAAAACACCCAGAAGATGCGGCGGCGAGCAGTCCTCAGAAGGATGGTGACGAAAAGGCTCATATTGGAGGTGACCGGTCCGCGGAGGCCAGTGATTGCAGGTATCAATCTGGATTGTGTGCAGAGGCAGATTTGCGACCTGAAGATCTGGACCAGGAACCTGAAGGAACACCCTCCAGGGACAAGGGTACAAAGCAGGCAGGCCACAGTTGTAAGTGTCACCAACAGATAGAGCTAGAGGACAGAGGGGCGGTAGAAGGACTCCTGACAAGAATAGCAAGGGAGGAAAGGAGCTTTGACTTAAGCTCGGGTGGGTGCGCAGGGGTAAACAACTCTTCTGACTAACAGTTGGTGAGAACCTTCGAGCATTCCCAAGAAAGCCAAAAGACGTGTGTGATCGTGATGGTGCTGTCACTTCTCTCCTTGAGAACCCCAGCTGGTCCATGGGGTGGTGTGATGGTGAGTATGCTGTCCTCTCTCTCCTTGAAAACCCGCCTCGTTCAGACCTCACCTACTAGTAAGCAAATTTCGATACCAGGGGCCTTGCCATGCTTCTTACGAAACCAAAAAAAAAAGTGCGACTGCATCTTCCTGCAGAACATGGCAAGATACAGACACTACTATAAATAGGAAGGGATGTATCCTGCCACCTTCTGCAGGAAGATGCACCCACATTTTTTCCGTTCCGTTGCAGGAAGTTTGGCGGTCCAAGATCCAATGAAAGGATAGGGCAGGAGGGATAGCAGTGTGAATAATGGCAGGAGGGGTAGCAGGGTGAATGGCAGGAGGGGTAGCAGTGCAAATGTGATAATGAGTGGGGGATAGTTCGGCTGCTGGGAATGAAAACTGGCCTTGGTTCTTCCTTTGTGGTTTTGCATGGCATGGAGTCGGAGTGAGGTTGAGGGATTGGGAGAGCAGTCCATGAGAGCATCCCATGTACTGAAATTGGATGGAGATCGTAATCGCCTCAGAGAGGAAATGGGTCTGGAAGATCCACCAAGGCGTCCGGAGACAAACCAGAGCTTGGTAAGATACGGTTGGCGCATGGCTAGCCTCGGCGAGACCCAGGTCATCTCCAGCTAGTTGCAGTTTGTGAAGGGTGTGTATGGGGCTGGCGATGGCTGAAATACCAATCCTCTGAATCGAGAGAGAACGGTTAAGCCAGAGAACTTGGAAGCGAGAGAACACGAAGCCAGAGAACTGTGAAGCGAGCAAACGGCGGAGGTAGCGAACTGCTGAGCCTGCGAACCAGTTAGCAGATTAGGTGGTTGATCGTGTAGCTGCTTAGGTGATGGGACGGCTATAGGGATCGATGATTTCGTGCCGAAAGAACTTAGTTCTTTATGTTTACATGACTAACCTGGTATAGCTGTTTAGGTGGGTGGCTGGCTCCCTTCTTCCCGCAGAATGCAACAGCCCCATCATTATGACTGCATGTGGACCTGAGCGGGGCTCATATATGTTCATGGCATTCATGCGGACGAGGGATTAATGCCATGCGGACGAGGGATTATGTGCAGGAGAAGAAGGTAGTGGCTTTGCTAGTCTAGATGCGGGATTGATCCGCTATGCTTGGCCTGTTGCTGAGCCAGCTGTTTTGGTGGCCAGCCAGATAGCTCCATAGCCAGCTAACCTTATAATAGGTTGGGTGGCTAGCTAGCTAGCCAGCTTGCTGCTTATTCTGCTAACCGGGTAGCAAGCTTTTCACATGTTTCACCAATTGTAACGTAGTTGGGTTATGGGTTACTGGGCAGTTGGTTGCTTCCTTATTGACTTAGCTTGTTAGCTGGCTAGCTGGCCAGTGACTACGCCACGGTCACCCTGCCGCGCATGTACCCAGTCAGCTTGTTGAACTTGAGGACCACATTTGTCATGGTGGTGACGCTGGGGTGCCGTTGCTGACGCGACCCAAGGGTGTGGAAGGAAGAGGAGGGGTAAGGCGCAGGAGTGAAGTGAACTGGTGGTTATACAGACAGAGGCATGCGAGGACAGCAGCACGCAATTCGTGACCTGTGGATGACAATCCTCCCCTTTCCTGATTTGGAATGGCGGAGAAGTTATGCCTGTCAATTCGATCGATGGCCACCAGTCCGTCTGAAGTTGCTGTTCATCTGTTTTCGTATATATGTGTACACTGCCCCTGGGCCGGTTGGCCCAGGGCCTGTAGAGCAATGGAGGAACAGTGACTTTGGGCCACAAAATGTCTGTGGGAGACCCAGACTTCTAATACCACCCCGAGGCTGGTACCGTTTCTCTCCCCCCCCCCCCCTCTTTCAAATAATGCGCAGGGGCCATGATGCTAATCTTCTCCTTATCGTTCCGATTTCAACAGATGTCCCCAAGCACAGGTATCGGTCACTTTTAGGCTTGGCAGAATGCATTTTTCGGTTCGTGGATTTAGCTTCCGATGGACCGGCGGTCTAACCATGGATGCTTGCCACCCTGGCAGTCGATCGCTGTGTTTGGTAAGTGGATGGTAGAAGAGAAAAAGCATCAGAATATCGCCCGGCAGCCGCCCCTGCTATTTCGACACTGTGAGGGCAGCACACAGTGTTGTTTGTCTGATTGTCATCGGATGTGTTATCATTCTTTGTTAGGTTGCTTTCGATTAGGCGTGTCCATTTGATTAGCTAATTTAATGTCACGATTCTTTTAATTTGTGGGGGGGGGAGGGGGGATGGTTCCCGGAACTTGTACTGTAAATGTGCTGTTTGGAAAACAATATACGCCTTTAAATGGTCTTTCGTATTTTCGCAGAGTTTCGAGCGATTGTGTGCTGTCTGACGTCCTGTCGGACAAGTTTGAAGAGGACGAGCGTCTCTGACATTCATAGAAGTCTGGTGCTCCGATGGAGGATCCGAAATAAACTCTTGCGGAGGAGAGTGCGACAGTGATCATTGGGGGCGAAGGATGCAGCAGGTAGGTGACCACAACGGAAACAAACACTAAGTGGCGACAGCGATCTCGCGCGACCCTCAGTTTTTCCCATTCATCATGAACTTTTGTCTGAGAGAGTTAGAACTTCCCCTTTGCAATAACGGGACCTCCCCGCCGCTTTTGAGTCTATTCTGATCTGCTTGCGTCCCTTTTGGCTCCCATCCCATGCCTGTGTCATCTCAGCTCTCAAATTCTCAATGCCTCTCATTCCTTTCATGCAAACCCATCTTCTTCCGTTTACCTTAGCTGCTCGATTTCGTCTTCCGGGCATCTTTTGCCGTTGGCCGTTATCGAGACCTACGATCCACAGTAGGCTTTTAGCAGAATCAATACGTAGCAAAGGGGTCCCCCATCTTGGTGCAGGTAACATGGAGTGGCACCTGGCAAAGCATGCTCCTTTGGCTGAAATTGGGCGTGCATTTGAGTTTTCCGAGGTTTGCCAGGAAGTAGGAATGCTCCTCCGTAGACTTTGTCCTGGTGCCTTTCTTCATATCTATCGCGTTGTACACACATTTTTTCATGTCAAGCATAAGGAGGGATGTCGAGGAAGGAGCTGAACGAGGTGCGGAACTAGGTGTGGAACTAGGTGTGGAATGAGGCGTGGAATGAGGTGCAGAAAGACACCACCGACAGGGATGGCACGACAAGTCGACGACTCGACACTTATGGTCTTCTGTCTACATCTGATAGAAGATGCGGGTCATATGAGTGGTAATGTGCGAAGGAAATCAAGTTTTTCGCGTTGTGGATTCTGGCGCTCCAACGCTGCATGTTGTGAGTGGCAGCTGCACGAGGCCATCTTTTTGCTTTTTCCGTCCTCGTGTTTTGTTTCCCTCCATCCGTTAGCCTTTCTGATCATCTGATTTTATCTGATGACGAGTTGAAGAGATTATTAGGGAATCAAGCTATAAGTGCAGCAGCAAGGATCAGTTCACCAACTGGAGAGAGGGATCCTCAGTGTAGAGATTAGGTAATGTTTGTCTTTTGAGCTTTCTTCCTGCTCTCGTTTTCTTCTTTTTTTTATCCCTGGAAAGGGAGATGGCCTTGAGAGATTATCATTGAGCTGACCGCACCCCAGGTAATTGAGAACCGTTTTTGTGCTGTTCATCTCATTCCATCATCTGGGTTCGAACWTGGGTCTGTATTTCAACAGTTCACAGGTGTACCATCTGAGCTAGGCCCGTTGGTTTTCGCCTTTCGTTTTGTTCCCCCCCCCCCCCATCCCTTAGGTTTTTGGATTACCTCATTTTATCCCTTAGGTTTTTGGATGACCTCGTTTTATATCATGACGAGTGGAATCGAAGTATCAGAGCATGGACTTCAATGACGGCAAGTGCATGATAGTGGAGCGAGTCAGACGGACTGCCGTGTGTTTACGAACCCCTATGGAGGAGGTTTTCTTTCCCAATTTTGGAATGATCTTTTCTTGCTCCTTGAAGTGCTCCCGTGCTCACAAGGGTCCAGGGATGCACAAACAGGAAGCCACTGGGAAATCCAATGTGTTTGAAGTGAAATCAGTTAAATTAATGCAGCAGAAGTTTTTGACGAGCCGTTGTCGATTTGTCAGGTGCTTGGAATTGTCAAGTACTATTTCCCACGGCTTATTATACATTACTGTGAATTTCATGTGGTAGAATAAGCACTGTTTTTCAGACCCCTCTCTCTCTCTCTCTCTCTCTCTCTCTCTCTCTCTCTCTCTCTCTCTCTCTCTCTCTCTCTCTCTCT